CCCCCCCCAATCCTACTACCACTGCCTGCCTTCTTTACCCCTGATTCTTCCTCCACAACGCATTCAATTCGAAACTGTCCATTAAATCCGTGGTCATTGTTTTGCCAATCGCAAAGTAAGCATTGTAAACACTTGAGGTGGTAAGTGGGAGCCTTATTTCTACATAGTTCGGAAATCACCTTTGGATACGCAAGAGGTACAGTTTGGTGCAGTAAGATCAACTGTTTTGAGTCAAATTTTTGGGTTTTGCTTCTAACTTCACAAATATATAACATTTGAGACCAAAATGGTTTCATTTAGTGATAGTCCACATTCCCAAATATTTTGCAAATGGAAATGAGAAGGTAAATTGGTATTTCAAGAATCTCCTATTTCGGTGAATAATGATCTATTTTACCTTTCAACTTGCCCTAAATCAACGTTAATTCAAACACTATATTAATAATTTTTCAATGGACTCTTACGTCAGCTTTTCCCAGCAATCGTATTTCCCAATCATAATAAGTTATGAAGTTGGAATTAAATTTGAATTTAGTTATTACAGCTTATAATGAAAAAAAATTATATTAACTTTAAAAGATGTAGGCGTGTGGGGTTAACTTTTGTGTCAAATTAATTTGACGAGACTGGGCTGTGCGATAGACTTACCTCCATGTGGTGCACCCTGGGCACTCATACTCATACGGCAAAAATGCCTATTAATCGGCAGTTGACTTCTGACTTCAAACTACCATCACCCCACTGTTTGTCATAGTCGACTACTTCTGCAGTACTCACCTCACCTTTCATTCTACCTTTTCTACCTTCGTCTTTGAAACACTCTTCTGTTCCCTTCCCCCCCTTCTCGACTTTTTATTAACTTTGATGTTCCTTCCTCTCTGCGAAGCCCGAAGTCAACTAAAGGGCTAATGATAACCATCAAAACGCCTGCCATTTGATATAAATAAATTTGACGAGACTATGACCCATTTAGTACTGATAATCAAAAAGCAAGTAATTAAAAGGATAAATCAGAAAATTTTATTATTCAAACTACACTAGTCAAATCATAAGTTAAATTATTAAGAAAATATCAATTATGCGTCCAGGTTCGCTCAAAAAATTCCAGATGTCACTAATTTAGTCGGATTCAGAGATGAACTTGATGACCTCGTCAACGTCTTCTGCACTGCCGAGATAGATGGGTGATCGCTGATGGATGTGAGTTGGCTTAATGTCCAGGATATCCAAGCCTTCTCTAGCCATCGCCTTTCCACCAGCTTGTTCCACTAAGTAGGCCATTGGGATGCATTCGTATAGAAGACGAAGCTAAAGGATGCAGAAATATAAACACAATAAGTTTGCACTTTCAAGTCTGAGATATTGGGAATAGCCCATTAAAATAGGCATGATCAAGGCCCAAATTTAGTTAATTAGTCGGTCAGCTCTGAAACTACGTGAATTAACAGTCTGCTAACTCTATTACGATCGATGTTACAGTCAGGCCACAAGAGCGATTTCATTCTCGTAGGAAATAGTAGCAGTCGGAAGGGTGAAATTAGGACACTTCTGACTCACTGATTCATGATCCATTCGTTGTGTCCTATTCTTCGCTCTCATGGTTGAAAAGGGGTTCGTTAACACTCTTGGCGAGCAAACTACTGAATTAAGATGGTTATAATACCGAGATGTAATTGCATTACTATTTCCTAATTTAAATATTCATTGACGCCACGATAACCAATAACGAAAACTGGATAAAATTTGTGCCCAAAACAATGATTTTCTCGTGGACATCTCGAACTAACGAATGGCAAATATGACATGATTTCTTGATGTGGCCTTAGACTGTAGTAATTTAACAAATATTCATTGGATTATCTTCTCCTGAAAATTCGGCCAATCGTATTATGAACACGTAAACTTAAGCCAAAATTGTGCAAATGAGTTGAATCGTTTTATTTAAATTTAACAGTGCTGCAATTGTTTTTAAAAAAACTATTATTAAAAACAGGAGTGCGCGATAGACTTACCTTCACTTGATGCACCCTGGGCAACGCATACTCATACAGCAAAAAGTCTATAAACAGGCAGTTGACATCAAACTACCATGACCCGATTGTATGTCATATTCGATCACTTCCACAGTACTCACCTTACCTTGCCTTTCTCTCTACCTTTGGGTCCGTCTCTTTTGCACCGTTGAATCTCTCTTCTGCTTCCCCTCCCCCCTCGACTTTTTCTCACTTTAATGTTCCTCCTCCCCTCTGTGAAGCCCGAAGTCAACTAAAAGGCTATTGATAACAATCATAAAGCCTGCCATTTAATATAAATAAATTATTAAAAAGCATATTTCATATATCTGCAAAATGATCTTAACTAAGATATGCCAAACCATAACATGGCAAATATTGGTCAACATCATGCAGAGCAATACACGAAATTTAATGGAATATATTAGTAACCTATAAGTTCGCAATAGGTACTTTTAATGACTAATGCGTGACTGATCACTTGATAATTTTAGCTTCCTTATTCAATTCACAAACTTTAATCTACAGCTGACTTAATTTAATAAAGCTTTGTGCTCTTTGCGAATTTTCGTTCCATTTCTTAACCAATCAATATGTCAACTCTGTCCTTGGCCTTTTTAGAGACTAATTAAATGACAAAGAGACGCAGTTGAAAAGCTAATTCCAATGAAATAACATTCAAAATTAAATATAAAAAACTTGCTTTTCCTTCGGGAGCGCTGCTCAAAGCGGGATACATGAAGATGCCACCATAGAGAAGGGTTCGATGCATGTCTCCAGCCATCGAGCCTTGATACCGAGCACTATAAGGCTTCCCTTCCTTAAAACCAGAAGAAAAATACGCAATTATTATCTAATAAGAAGTACTATCATTTGGTTCAATTCTCACTTTTGGGAATTTCTTCTCATGTAAATAGTTGAGTAACCCTTTGCACCAATAACAGGAATTGCCCTCATTTACTGAGAAGATTGAACCGCGTTTAGGAATAGTAATATTAACATGAGTCATGATGAATTCACCTAAACACTAGGATAAGCAGAAGAAATATCAGTTGTCTATACAAAATTAAATAGTACAAAGTGAAGGTTAACTAACAGGATCCAACATAAAACCATGGACTCCAGAACCTAGAGAGAGGACAATCATTGTTGAACTTCCATAGATTGCATAGCCAGCAGCCACCACCTCCTTTCCACTTTGCAACGCCTCTTTGGGATCAACAGGACTATGATCGCGTCTCATTCTACGGAACACAGTGAAGATCGATCCTACTGACCCTAAACAATCGATATTTGAAGAGCCATCCAATGGATCAAATGCGACGATGTATTTTCCCTGTTGTCTGGGATCAACGATGATTGGTTCTTCGTTCTCTTCGGAGACTAGCATGCAAGTGGTGTAAGATGCAGTCATCATATTAATGAAAAGTTCGTTGGCAATAATGTCCAACTTTTTTACGTCTTCGCCTTGAACATTGGCATTCCCTGTCAAACCGTACCTAAAGTAGAATACCCAGTAGGACAATTCTATTTCGGCTATTCAGCATTATCACTATGAAATACGCGAATGATTAAATAAGCAGAGAAGAGTTTCTACTTAATTATACATATATATACATATATAAGGTGAATCTGAAAATTAAAAAACTTCGACATTTAACCCTGTGCTTTTTCAAACTAATTACTATTAAAAGAGCATTACGGCGTATTTAAAAAATATAGATACTTAAGAGAAGCGATTTTTCTATTAATTTAGCTGACAACAATCACCAGGATAAAGCCATATAACCACCGGCCTATTACTAATAAAAGTATAAAATAAGGTAGCTTTCTTACAACTCTGCGATGCCCACTTTTCTCACAGCAGTCGAAATGGCTTTGACGGCTGTTTGAATACCATTCATAAGTTGAGTCATTTCACCAGACGCTTTGGGATATTTCATCTGCTCACTGATAATGAACCGCGTCAAAGTCATGCAATTCGTACCCATTTTATCTAGAAGGGAGCACAATAAATACAACAAAATTATGATTGATATGTATTACTGTTAAAGATAACAGAAAACTGTGTTAGTTTAATTGAACAGAAAATCAACATTTATACAATTAACACAATTAGTAAATAAGGTTTCATAAAGGAAAAAGATTAGTAACTTTAAGAATTCAGAGGATTAAAAGGCATTATGTTACATTTCTATCCTAATGATCTAAATACGCACCATTAGAATAACATTCTTCTCCTAACAACATTAACAACCGAGTAAATATGTATTAATGGACCATTAATAGAGTCGAAGACTTATAATTTAAGAAAATATTACCATCACACATTGTTACTTTCAAGTTTAATTGATGAACAAAAAAGCGGCGAAAACCTAATTTGCAGAGCTCAATAGACCCGCAGTGACCTCAAAAAGCATATTATATTTCGTTTATCATTTAAAACAATTGTATATATTTTTTAAATACCAATTAGAGCAATCAATTTATGTAAAATTTATCATTAAAATGGGAGAGTAAATCTCATACTTTTTTTCTTTTTTGACTCTGGATCATCTTATGGCTATATTTTGTTCTCAGAACTTCTGAAAATGCAACAGAAATCTTCACCGAATTGAAAAATATCAGCAAAGTAAATGTCCTATTTTCGCGTTCAGCTATAGGGGAAAAATTTTTAATTACTACTGAGTCATTGTATTTGTTGTAAGGAATATTTTATCAGTTTTGTAACTTGTTTGAGCTGAAGTGGCTAACTCTGATTCTCAATTTGAAATTCAAATGAATCTTTATCCCCGGAATAGGGTTATTTAACTTGCTCTTTGTTAAAGTTAGTCTATATTAGAATGCCTTTATCAGTATTCATATCTTTAAAATGCCTATTTTATCTTTTTTATATGATATTTCCAACAAGATCAACACGCGCTCTACGCATACCTGTTATCAACACTCATTCATGAATAACATTAATTCAGCATCTGGTTTTACCACGGTCGTGTTTTCCCTTTATCTTTTAACAGTATCTTCAACAGTTGCCTGTGCTTAAATAGAATATTTTTTGGCATTGTTTACAGGTTCCGTAAGTGCACAAATCTTATGATTAGGTTACATTTTCTCAAGTACTTCTCTCATTTTATCGGGTCATTGAAAGAAAGAGTATCCGTACTTTCTGTTGCTTAGAAATTATTTAAGTTCACAAGGCATAACTAAAATATACATTAAGTGTCTATGAACTAACCTTAAACTTTATCAATATTGACAACTTTCGACTTTGGAAAAAATACATTATTAATTCATTGCTAAACAAAAATAGTTAGTGAAACAGAGCAGAAACTAAGTGGTCTCTTTATTAAAAGGTCAATTTGAGCTTACAACTTAGACAATACGGTATATAGGCTTCTTTTATTGAGAAATCTGGTCTGTGCTTAGATAATATTAGGTTGCTTACGTAGCATTTTTTCAAACGAAGTCTTGTGGCTAATCGTCTGCAACGACCCACTTCATAATTTTTGAATTCCAAACGTTTATTTCGAGATAAGAAAAGTAAGGTGCTTAAGTAAGTCAGACACCATTGTTACAAGACACAACATGCCGTTTTTCATCTCCGATACTCTCAACAGGGGTGTGTGAGTGAGTGAGTATTTACCTTTATGTGACTTTGTTAGAAGAGCCCAATTTCGATGACAGTTTCGGCCGTAGAGTTATGTTTTAAGAAAAAATGGAGTGGCATTGCATTCATTCTCGCTCTCTGGCACTTACCGCTTTTCTCCCTATTTTAGCCAATACATGATTTCTTGAATTGTGACACAGTTCTTCATATTTTTTGGAGTAGAGGTAATTTCTACGATTTTTTCTGTTAGTAAGGCTCTTCTTCATCGTTGTTTCTACCACACACACACACACACACACACATAATGTTCTGTCCACTTAACTCAGACCCAAAGAGGACCAGATGAGACAGATGTGATGTTATACTTCAAGTCACTTTGCCAAGTAAATACAAGTTTTAGGACGGACTCAAAGTTGTCCTCACATTAGGACTATCAATAAGAGATCCTTTATTTTGCAAACAGACGTTTCAGTATAGTTTGAGTCCATATGGAGAAGGAAAAACGCTGTGACTTGTCTTCGTATTGGCCAATTTTTCAGCATTATTTAGGAGAAATAAATTTCAATTTATTGTTAAGAGTAAAAGCGTCCATTTACGGAGTGGACAAAGAACACACCATTATTTAAATATATGGCAAATGTTTGGAGTTTACGATTTTAATTGTCATGTAGATTTGAAATCGGCTAAATAAATCCAAATTACGTCTCCATATCAGGAACACCAGCAACTTTTGACGACGAAGTGTTAAAATCCCTGGTTGAGTCAGATCGCCGAAACTCGCATGTCCACGATCTATTGAATAAGTACACTTGAAACGCAGGGTGCATTGAGTAGCATGGAAATTTGGGCGCCGGCACATCAACTCTCGAACTACAACAAGTAAAAGTAAAAAAGGTATGACACTTTGTCACGACAAAGATTTCTTTATTTTTGGTTCAAGGGGTGGATTGTTTACAAGAGATTTATTTATTTATTTTAAATGGCAGGCTTTATGATATTTATTATTAGCCCTTAAACTTTGACTTCAGCTTCCCCCAAGAAGGGGGGGGGGTACATTCCTTTGACTTCAGCTTAGGCAGTTAATTAATAGCAGTTCATTAGCAGTCTTCTTGCTTAACAGTATCTCTGGCTTTCCGTCCTTGTCTTTAGAGCTGGATTACATTTATAGCGGTTAATTAATAGCAGTTCATTAGCAGTCTTCTTGCTTCCCCGTACTCTGCTTTCAGCTCATTAGCTGTCTTCTTGCTTCCCAGTATCTCTGGCTTTCTTGCTTGTCTTTAGAGCTGGACACCGAATCAGGTGGGTCTTCCTTGTCTTTAGGGCTGGACACCGAATCAGGTGGGTCTTCTCCTTGTCTTTAGGGCTGGACACCGAATCAGGTGGGTCTTCCTGTCTTTAGGGCTGGACACCGAATCAGGTGGGTCTTCTGTGTCTTTAGGGCTGGACACCGAATCAGGTGGGTCTTCTCAAATGTAGGTTACATAGAGGGCATGTGGGTTGAGTGTATACGTAGGTTACCGAGTAAGGTGTGTCTTCTCCATTTCCTCATGCAGGTTACATAGGGGGCATGGCTTCTCCATTTCCTCATGTAGGTTACATAGAGGGCATGTGAGTGTTTACTCCCAATCTGTGAAGGTGTTTTGCCAGGCAACCGTTTCCTCCTGTAGGTTACATAGAGGGCATGTGGGTTTAGTGAAATCCCAAACTGTGAAGGTGTTTTCCAGGCAATCGTGTCCGGAACGTAGTCTAANGTATCTTTAAATCTCTTGAAGATTTTCTGACAAAAGGGTTTTTCTTTTGTTTGTGGGAATAGAACCTCGCAAAGCAGTTAGCTATTTCGGTGTCGGTGGTAAGCAATTTGCTGTTTAAGCGTATTGGTTCTTTCTTGGGTCTTCTCTGTTGTTTTGCAGGTTTCTCAGAAATTTGAAAGTGCGTTGGCTATCACTTTGATAGTTGATATTTGAGATGAACTTGTCGAAGGAAGTGCGTTTAGCTTGTAAGATGGCTTGCCTTAGGACAGCTGATTGTCGTCTCCAGGCTTTTACGTCTTCCGTTCTTCCAGTCTGATCAGCAGTGTTGCGAAGGGCGTCCTTCTTTCTTTTCAGTTCCTCAAGGTGTTTAGACCAAAACACTCGATAGTGTTTAGTCTTGCCTCGGGGAATAGTCTTCTTTGCACATCTGATCATAATATTCGTGATATCAGTACACAGTTTATCAGGATGTTGGTTGAAGTTGAGGGGACTTGTGTGAAGTTCATTCTTCAAAAGGTTTGTGAATCTAGGCCAGTCAGCCTTCTTGAAGTTCCATGATAGCTTAGTTGGCACTTTCCTTGACATGCTTTTGCTGCCGATGGTAATACTAGCAATGACTGGTTTGTGACCAGAACCAGGATCTTCAATTATTTTGCGGTGTGTATGCTCACTGATGTCGCTTGAAGCCAAGAGTAAATCAGGAGTTGTTCTGGTTCCATTGAAGTGCAAATATGTAGCCGGATCCTCATTACTGTAAATAAGTTCCAGCGGGTTGCTGTTTAGCATGTCTTCAATTTCCTTTCCAGCTATGTTTGTATCCTTGTAGCCCCATCTGGCGGAATGGTCGTTGAAGTCTCCTAATACTATAGTTTTGTGTGAGATGTTCAGAATGTCAAAGTTGGGACACGTCTGGGGTGGATTATATCTTGAAGTGGTTTTGACATTTCCAAACATTTAATCTGATTATTTCACATTTGTCTTGTGTCGAGCCCATACTCTTGATTAGATCGTAGTGTGAGGTGAGGCCTTCTTTAACTCCAGTTAGTATTCCACTTGCAACTTGCCGGTATTTAGGTAGATTGTACAGGGTGCAACCTGGGAATTGGTAGTACTTCAGTTTGTCATCCGAAATGTTAGCTTCCATAATTATGAAAATGTCTACATCATAGGTTTGTAGGATTTTCTGTACTTGGATCTTTTTGTCCGGAGACATTCCTCCAGCATTCCACTGGAGGATCTGAAGACGTTGTGATTCGCCCTGACGAGGGCGATTCCTTTTATAACCTTTTTTAAAGCTAATCATAATAAATCGAAGTCAAAAACGAATGCCGAGTGATAGACTTTTTTTCCGTAAGAAAATACGTTGTCCAGGGTACACCACGTGGAGGTAAGTCTATCGCGCACCCCTGTTTACAAGAGATTATGTAGAGAAAATCAAAAGCTTTCTCATGGGGTGTATGAATAGCTTAAACAAGACATAACAGTTACGACCGAAGTATATTGATGTTAACATGTGCCAACCTTCATATGCCTTTTTGCCCCTTTATGAGGATTCCAAAATGTGCACTATTTTATCCAATATATGGTAGCATATAATAGACTCCTCGATCAAAATTGACGGTTTATTAAATCT